TGTGGAATCTTCGCAGGATGCTGTAAATATGTCCGATAAGAAAGAAGGCATTGAAGAGGTAGTTCAGGTACGTTATTTTCCAAAAAAATGTATTTAGGTTACTTGTATATAACCTAGTTCTTAACTGCAGATTTCTCAGTCTTGTTATTTCCCACTTTCCCAAAAGATGTCGCGGTCTTCGTGATCGTTAAGGTGGGACCTAAACAAAAAGTTTTTGAATCCCGGTATTTAAGGCTTCAAATAAAAAGGGCATTGAAGGATAACATCAATCTTCAATTGACTAGATGTCAACAGAATTGTCCATTTTTCATTATTGCGCAGATAGTTACGGAATGTAATGGTATTATTGTTTCCGCACTCTTCGATGCCATTCAGTGCTTTTGTAAATATTGGGATGATTCCCTAGTCGATGCTGCCACATTCTCACACGCTAGACAACACTTGCAAACATTTTGAGATTTGTTATATTTCTTCTCTTCAAGTCACTAGACGATGTGGAAGCTCCTGACGACGTCAAAGTTTCCCAGTCAAGGTTCAAAATAGGCAAAGCTAGGAAACGACGTGGTCAGACCATGTCTAGCAATGGTGACGAGTACATCATGTCAGACACCTTCGATTTCCGTCAATACCTTCCTCAGGACCTCCTCAATGACGACAATGAGGAAACAAAGGATGATTTTGAAGAAGAGGACAAGCGCGTTGATTCTGAGGAAGAAGAAATAGCTAATGCCATTATGGAGGATGGATTTGCTGAAGGCAGGTCGTTTGTTGTAGTAGTATCTTAAAGTGGGTCTTGTTTTTTAGTCAGGATAGAAAAACCATAAAGTTATTGCGGTATTTAGTATTAGCAAACTCCACGGGACGCACTGTAAATACACTGGTGCCATTTTCTACCCACCGTCACGTTTGTGTAGAACAGCTGGTTTTGTGATTTCAATCTTACGAAAGGATAGTCCTACTTGTGGCTTATTCCGAATTGGTGAAATAGGTACCTCATTTGTTTTGATGCAGTCTGCCTGGTACTGCGTTTGTATCATCCTTATTGCGGTTTCTTCGAAGACATCCTATCGTTTGATTAGGAACATTGTGGTAATAAGACCTGTTCTTGACAATGCGACTATCCTACTTTTAGAAAATTTAGGTTGCTTATTAGAAAGCTAGTTTTTGTGTTCTCGTAGTCGTGTCACACTAAACTTTTTGCCCGCTGAATGTGGCCAATTCTCGTTCCCTAGATTCTGACTGACATTTTCCTGTGCATTGTTAAATTCAGATTCGGACGAAGACGACCATAAAAACGGGAGAAGAGGGGGTCCAAAGTTAGGTAAAAAGGCGACAAAGCGTGGCATTTCTTCCTCCGAAACGGAAGCTGTCATTAGCGAGGTTGCAAACAAGCGTACACGCAGACGAGGCGTTCGTCGTTCACGCCGGAAGTACTCCGCCATACCTCGAGTCAATGTCCTCGACCGACAGGAAACAGCAGAGGAAGTTCGCGAAAGGGCTGATGATTTTATCAATCAGCGTCTTTATAATAGGGGTGAGGGACGGACAACTGGACAAGCAAAGTCATTTAAGGGTCCCCGGAGAATGGACCAGAGAGCGGTGGCTTCCATGTCCAAGAAAGTAAGAGCACGCAGACTCTCCCTGATGACCTTTTGACCTCTTGTGTATATCCGCTTTGTTGTAGAAAGGCTCATTTTAACTATAACATGACACCAGCAACCTATGAAGCAGCTTTCGATACAGTGATTCCCTACCTTTTGCCGAACTGGCTGGTTTTGAGGCGGTGACTTTTCGCGAATTGTAGCCTGAGTAGGCAAGTAGGGAATTCTAGATGGGTCTCGGATATAATCTTCAACTCTCGCCAGCTGACTTTCGTCTTAATTTGCGTCATATGAAATGTTAGTTGCAAAATGCTGCACCCAGGTCCTGTGTCGTATCCGCGGATAAAAGAGGTCATATTCTTTTATTACAAATGAGGACAAAAACATGCTGCTTTTGGGCAATCAGATAGGCAAAAATTGTCAACCTTTTTTTCTCTCAAAAGAAACATTTCACGTGATTCGCACGAGCCATGAAGCAATTTAACAAAATATTACAACGCAGGGAAGTGAAAAATCAGCTCGAAAAGTCCGAAGGTGCAAAAGGCATGTGACCAAATAAGTCTAGTCCAGGACTAGGCATCAAAATCCCTTCTTTTTCATTTCTGCTCTAAGCCATTCCTCACTGAGGTCCTCGACATCATGGAGTTCTAGCACCTACAACGCCAAATAAACGCATGACACACCCAGCAGTGCTTTGAACAAAAAAATCAACTCCCCAGAATGAAACCATTAAACACACCTGAGAAATACAGATTTGTGTGACCGAATAGGGCAAAACGACAAGCATGACCACTCGCGCCGAATTTAGACACAAGCAAGCTACCGATCAAGCCCACGAACGCGGATCATTCAGTATCAAGGTGGTTCTGTAGTTAAATCGTGTAGATTTACGTCAATTAGCCCAGTCATTACATTCTCTGACAAACTACCCCCTTTTAATAGCGTGCCCGTTAATCATGCCAAACTGTCTGCTCAAGTGTAAGTGTGCCTACACCGCTCCGTCAGCCGTACTTCTACTAGTTCACCAAAACTGTCAGCTAGCAGGTGCACTAGTCATGCACTACTCTGGCTACACGCACACGACAAAATAACTCGGTTGAGACATCGAATAAACGGTTGCCTTTCTTTCCTGTCTCATTTCGTCCCCAAGAACTTCGTGTTGTGTAGTGTCGTGACAATTCTGTGCTCGCCGATGTCCCACAGATTACCACGCCAGTGACGTGACATGGAAAGTATCTTTCTCTTCGACGCAGTAATACAAAATTGTAGCTTAAGAAGTAGCTCAGATCTCGTCGGATTTGGTTTGTGCTGTATATATTAGCACCCCAATGGTTTACCTTAATCCAAACAGACCATTGTCAGTCAACACTAACACGCATGGCAAAGAAACTACTTGCCCCTCTAGGAGAGGGTTCAGCAGTTCCATCTGAAAAAAAGAACTTACTTTGGTGACTTGACTGCTGTCGATGAAGTGGTGGAGGGATCCGGCATACATCATCTTGAGGTCAGGCGGACTGACTGAAAAAAAATAAGACCGACAATCTCAGCGGCTTGAATTATCCCATATCCGCAGTAAAGACGGCATCCATCTGATAAATTTTCAGGAGCAAAACGTCGATTTGTGAATCCTACAGTTTTTTGGTTTATTTAACAAACTCCACGCATTAGATACCCGCCGTCTATTTTACCCCAATTTGTTGACCTTGGCGCGGGAGTCACCAATAGATTGCGAACTTAAGGTTTAAGGATCGCTGCAAAGGTCTTGGATGCACCACTACTGCTTTTTGCGGACAACGTAGGCGTTACGTAATTGTTTCCAGTTCTAAAGTTGCATGAGGGAATCGGACCCTAGGGTAAAACGCTCGGTAAGTCAATAAAATTACTCGCCCTTAACTAGGTTGTGTAGAAATAAAGCTAGCAACGTACTACATCTAGTGACGAAAACTACTCTGGGCCAAACGGCTCTACCGATGTGGGGTGACGTTGTAGCGGGCATGGATTTTAAATGTTTGCAATTGTCATAAGCATGTTATTTGATATTCACATGGAATATGAGAACGAGAACATTTGTCACTTTTGCGCTATAGCGTTCAAAAACGAATGCCACAGGGAAATGAGAGAACAAATTGATTTGATTCTGCTCTTGTCATACCATAGTATGGCAGGTTCAGTTTTACCGAACCACATGTAAGAAAGCAAGTTCAGATAGGCTGCAACATATCCCAAGGATCCCTCAGAAGAAAGACACGTGGCCGCTCATTACACGGTGCGGAACCCACAAAAAAACTTGGTAAAATGCGGGATGGCAGTACAGCCTCACAAGAAGAAAAACACGAAACCTGCTAGTTTGTGTTCAGATTAACAAGTTGTCCACGGCTTGATGGCTGTTTCGGTGGCTACCACGCGAAATTAACAGTGATTTCGTGAAATTCTTAAGAGAAAGTCTAATCAGCATTGTGCGGCTGCAAACATTAGGCAGAGCCATTAAAAATGATGACCCCCTTAAACGCGCATTCATTCATCTTGATAATTAACTTCTTCACTAGCCATGTTGTCTGTCGTGCAAGCGGCCTTGTCTGAGTGTGTTCCCCAATGTGTGCGCGACTTACAAGCATACACAGCCTCGCATATAAATTTACAACAGTATAGGCGTAGCGTGCCCGAGTATCTAAAAGTGGCAACCCCTAATTACAATTGAGAGGCTTCTACATAAGCATACTTTTAGCGAGCAAGCAATTCCGACTCCAAGGCACTTCAAACATACCTAGGGGAGAGTACGTGGAATTACAAACTCAAATTAGACATGGGCTCTGACACGCAACCTCAGAGTAGATGGTCAATAACTAGCATTCATAATGGGCCTCTTCCTTGCCTGAGCAATCCGCTAGTGCACTGCTTATGTCAAACGCCATTATGAAAATAGGGAAGTAGTCTCACAAATGCTCAAAACCTCGCTTTTCGTCTAAGAAGTGTAGCATTAAACGCCAGATCGCATCTAAATACACATACCTGTGGCCAAAATGAGCAAGCTTAATAAAATCCAGGGTAAAAATTGTATATTGCTACCCTGAGGGGAAATATGCAAGTTGCCTCATGAAAATGGACAGAAAGGCTAAAGGTTAGATATGTAAATAGCCCATTTAGCTGAACATTTAAATAAAAATCGTCAGTTATAATGGTTATGAAGCAAACCTAGATAGTATATATTTACTAATGACGAGCAATAACAACCAAATCTTGTTTGATTTGAGACACACTGAAAGCTCTAGGACAAAATTTAACCCACTGAAGTCCTAGAACATCCGAGGTATGTGTGGGATTTGTCCATCAAAACATCGAGCGAAACTACCAACAGTCATTACAATCATTCACAAATCAAGTTAAGGACAGGCTTTTTGACAACCAAAGATCACTCAGTGGAGCTACTTATGTTAAAACTGGACACAATACAATTATCGAAGTAATGTTCGCATTGTTGCGATGTGAAGATAGAGTATAACTTCCGTTAATACTGGAAGAACGTACCTCTAGGGCTAGAGAAAATAAGACAATACGGGTACGATACGCGCCCATCATCATGATGGAGTTCATAGCTGATCAGTATAAAACGTGGCTCGTTCAGAGCTATTTCATTAGGCAAGTCGTCAATGCATAGGTCCTAGAAGTTAAACTGTTGTGCAACAATACTTTAATTTCTTGTTCGATTTCAAATTGCCTTGACTTTGGGTCAATTTTACCTACAGAAAAAAATAAGCCGATGCGAAAAATCACTTATAATAGCCGAGGAACCCTTTGCATTACACAGCTTAAAAGACCGGTATTTTTTTACCAAATCATCTGATATCGATGCAAGTGTATGATCCTAGTGAAAGGGCATAAAAATCACACTAAGCAATTACCATAAGAGATATAATACGGTATTAAAAAAGAGTAGTAACTCGCCACAAAGAATTGAACCTATATTTCAAAACACCAGGAAGTTAAAAGAAGAAAGACGAATTTGAAATCACATTTCACTTATAAATCATTATAAACGAAAATATGCTTAAAGTTTTTGCAGTTTTACGGCCAATAAACGATAAGTAGGTTTAAAGGTAGTATAAGAGAAATTGATTTTTAAAGCAAAGTTAAATTTGACGACACAAATTGGACCTTCTATTCTTGATTACACCCGTTAATCTGGTACTTAATCATTTTTAATCTAATTTCGATTTTTCTGTATCCTTATATTAATGTCAGTAAGAGGTAATAATAAGGCTTTTAGGTTGATTAATGGAATATTTTTTTAATTCTTGATTTCACGTTTTTCAAAAAACGTTCAGATGAATTTTATTTTTAACATCTGTACGCTTCTTGCATTAGCCGATTTTGAGGGACTTTGATAACACACTTTCGGAAATCTGAAAATATAAATTAACGACTTAGGATGGAGTGGGATATATTAATACAGTCAACATTTATTTACCTGAAAGAGAATGTGATTTAAATGCATCTATCAGTTTGTTTCGAAAGGTAGTTTAATTGAGTCAAATGTACACAGTTATATTTCGTAGTAATTGTCTGCTCGAATAGGAAAGTGCTGGGATTGAGCATTAAGTGTTATAGCGGGTGTAAAACGTTTTCTTAGATAAACTTTGTTGCTGGTTTTTGAGTTATGATATATGTCATTTTTATCCCTAAATAACCATTTGCAAATTGGTTCGTTGACTGCCAACTACGATGTTGATATATATTATTTAATTGTGCCCACCTTGCAAAATTGCGTTAATCGACCACAGTTACATGCACAGAACTCTGAACAAGGCTTAAGGAGCCAAGAACAATCGCAACCCTTGTATTTATTCGTTAAGTAGTTCGCAGATAGGAGTAAGATGAGAGAATTAATAGTTCGATGCCTGAGAATTTGTCATCCACGCAGGAAACCAGTATTAGGATTTCCTGACTTGGTTGAAATTTAACACCATTTATAATATAAGGTACTACGATAAAATGGGCTACAAGATCATCAGTAATTATTTCCACTAAATGTCTGAATTTATAACACTTTCAAATAGGAAATCATCGAATTAATGACTAGTACATGCGTACTTATGAAAAAAGTGTTAGATATGTGCTTTTCGAAATGCAGGGACTTGTTTTATAAGCGGAAAAAACTTGCCTCTAACCTGAAATTTTAATATAAGTTAAAAATGCTAAAAATATTCAGTTTCACATCATTCGTGGTAAGAATGTCATAGTGAACAATTTCTTTTCGAAATTTTGTGGTGATTGGTTTCATGAACATATTTAAGAAATTTCGTCCATTTTTGCAACCATGGGGGCTGCTTAGACAATGCAAAATTAGAAAATGCTAATTGAATGCATCCTTTGGTTGCGACTTTAACAGAACATGCTTTGAACGAATTGATTTTCTGTTGAATGATCAAACTGATATACCAGTGTCTTTGCGGCAAAAACTTGTGCTATTAACCGTGAATGTATAAATGCACACCTTTGATATCCGTGGGTTTATTAATATTAAATTTTTAAGTAAACAGCCACATTACAAACTAAAAATCACGAAATGTCAAACGTTCACTTTTGATTAAGTACTATACTAATAGATGACACTCCTCTTTTCGTCCATATGTGAATCGATAGGATTTTTTTCAGTTGCCTTAAGTCGTTTGTTTTCAACAATTATAAATGTGTTCGAAATAAGTGCCTTGGTACATTCCATTTGATTTTAAAAATCTTGGGAATGTTTGCTTATTATGCTTTCCATAGTATTTAATAGTCAACCAAAAATTGTAGGAGATATTATAGAAGTTAGTGTGCAGGCCACGGACCGTAGCATAATTCGAAGAATATCAGTGATTATAATTTGACCCTAACCACCTGTCAATTCTGAAACTACGTCCCTAGGATCCATACATAAAAGTGTTATAAAAAACTACGCATATGTTGAATAATATGATAAATCTGCATAATTAGTGCTTTTTTAAACTTTTTATTATTTTCTTGTTTATTAACTAATACTTGTTTGTTTTTTTAGGCCAATTAGCATCTTAAGGTGTCATTTAAGCGGTAGTATAAAAGGGCTGTTTTTCATTGACCAAAAGCACAGCTTTTCATTCAAAGCATGGATATGTCTGACGAGGCTATTTTTGAAAGGGTCCAAGAAATTCTGCAGCCTTTGTGTTTGGACCAAGATGCATACAAGGCAATAATGATGAAGATTTTGGATGCGATGATTCGCGGACTTAATTTGGAAACTAGGCCAATATCTTCCATCAAAATGTTCCCATCTTTTGTTACAAGGTTTCCTACTGGAAAAGGTATGAATGCATTAAAGGTTTAAACCGTATATAGAAACGGGCCAGGTTCTTGCTCTTGATCTTGGAGGAACCAATTATCGTGTTTTACTCGTCACTCTATCAGGAGATGGACGTCATCCTAAAATTGACGAGCGGACCTATGCCATACCTTCACAATACATGCTGGGTTCTAGTAAAGACGTAAGATTTTTGTAGTGCTATATTTTTTTAGCTCTTTGGTTATATTGCCTCCACACTGCAGAATTTTCTCAAGCGTTACGGACTTGAAGATAAGAGTCTGCCCTTAGGCTTTACATTTTCTTTCCCTTGTGAACAAAAGTGTTTGAACAAATCCCTTCTAGTTCGATGGACAAAGGGATTTAACGTTACGGATGCTATTGGCGCTGATGTAGCGCAGTTGCTCCAAGAAGCAACAGACCATATTGTAAGCTTTGACATTTATTCTACCTATATTAGAATATTTCTAACACACTATTTTCGCTTGTAGGGCCTTAAAGTAAAATGTGTTGCTGTTGTCAATGATACAGTGGGCACGCTGGCTTCGTGCGCACTTGAAGATCCAAAATGTGCAGTTGGCCTTATTGTTGGTAATGAAAGTTGCTTTATTTGTGCATGGTTATTCTAATTTTCCATAATTATATATTTCATTTTTATTATAGGGACTGGTACAAACGCAGCCTACATAGAAAAAGTTGAAGAAGTGGAGTTAATGCGAGTACTTGAAAGCAGTAATGGCGTCCACCGCCCCCCTGAGGAAGATAGTGTCATCGTTAACCTCGAATGGGGGGCGTTTGGTGAAGCTGGCGAGTTAGAAGAATTCTTAACTGATTTCGATCGTGAGCTAGATCACGATAGCTTGCACCCAGGGAAGCAGATGTGAGTTATTGTGTAGTTACAAATAGTGTTTTATTTTCTGGGGCATTATATTACGGTTTGTTTTTCAGATTCGAGAAGATGGTGTCGGGGATGTATCTTGGTGAAATAGTTCGTGTTATCCTATTACACCTCGTTAAGCAGCAGCTGTTATTCCGAGGTGAGATGCCTGAACCCTTGGCAACACCTGGTGGCTTCCACACAAAACTAATTACGGAGACTGAACGGTAAAAAAACTTAAGATTGAGCAACACGTCCTCGTTTATAATGAAATAATCATTTCACTGTCTTTTAGGGACCCACCACATCTGTTTTACAGTACGCACGCTGTTCTAACTGAGGACTTAAAGTTGCCTATCGTTGATCCCATTGATGACCGTGTGGTTCGTTTGGTTTGTGAACTTGTTTCTAAGCGAGCAGCATACTTAGCAGGAGCAGGTGAGTCATTTAACGTAAAAAATCATTTTATTAATGTCATTTTAAACTTTGCTTTTCTACCTAATAGGCATCGCTGCTCTCATACACAAGTTAAATCGATCCCATGTTACTATTGGAATCGACGGTTCGTTGTACAAATTTCACCCCAAATTCAGGGAGCGGATGACAGATATAATTGACCAATTGAAGCCAGCTTCTGTCAAGGTAAAATTAATTTTACCATTTAAATGTCCTGCGTTTTTTCCGTTTTGGAGTTTCGTCTGGGATTTATAAAATAAGAATCCTCCACTACAATATGCAGCTAATTAAGTGAATGACCTAAGCGAAAACCCCTTCCTTACCCGTCACGTAAACAGCCTTTCTATTGGTTTGCGCTGGCAAGCGTGCGTAGATGTCGGTTAAAAGGAATGTATTTCCCTTAACTTCGTATCTTTTCGCCAACAACTTTGCCTTTACTTCCATTCCAGTTTCGACTTCGACTCTCAGAGGATGGAAGTGGAAAGGGAGCGGCAGCGATTGCAGCGGCTGCCACAAGGACCTCAGACGCGTGTTGACAATTTCCCTGAGCGGCAACGCAATCATGCAGCTTTCGAATCTCGCTACTTATTGTGTATTTAGCTTTTAGAATGTATTTTAAAGGGTCTTACACGATGCTCTTCGTTTTCTTGTTCAGTGTGTCTTTTAAAAGTTGTGTATTCTTTTGTTTGATTTTTCGTATTCAAAATAGATTTTGAACTCGATTTGACTTCCTATTCTTGTTTAATGGGCATTTCACTCTACCTTGATGGACATACAAACTTTTTCGATACCTCAATTTATTAATTGTCAGTACTCCTGCCTGGCGATTACATAAGCTTTTCTAATTAACAAATCATGCTAAAACTGTAGTTTCTAATGTTTGTAGGATTCTAGGGTATCGAGAAAGGCTCAAGACCACCACTGAAGCTATGAATAAATAGGATTTCGACAATAGTGATGTGTGCATAAATCCGATCCGACCATCTGCAATCGTTATTTATCGTATTATAGAATTTGTAAACCAGTACAGTGAAATTCTGTTTGTGACAATGCATGCCGCGTTGGCCTATTTTTTGACTCACTATTTCGGTGAGAAAGCCAGAAACTACCTGACGCTACTTAAGCAAGTCGTTTGAATGGCTGTGAAGGGAACAGTCAGGCAGTTTGTGTGCCAACAAAAAAGAGGATGCCACCCAGCAATAGGGAGTTCTTCGAGACGAGTTCAATTCACAAAATGATAATTTATCTGTTTTAGCATTTTAGCAGACAGTGAAACCCTACAACCAGCGTGCGCGTGCACCAGTTTTATTAGGAGCGTGTGCCACCTAGCAGAGCTAACAGCCACAAATGCACTTTAAAAGGACAGCACGAAAAAAATTCGGGGGCCTGGAGATATAACCTTCGGGATTGGTTCTGGCTGTTCCAGCACCAAGTAGGTAGGTAACGGCATCAAGATCTTGATTTAATTCAGTCGCAGGCGACAATCAAGCAGATCGTGTAATGCTTGTCGATATTTTCGCCCAATGTAGGCACGAAATAACACAATGCTGCTGATCTCCCTTCTTTCATTTCCATCACCCATCACGCAACATTCACATTCGCAATGTGCTAAGCCCACAACTCGATTTTATCTGCAGACTGCATCCCACAATATCAAAAATTGGATAAAAATGTACGTAGGCACTAGTGGCAACGACGAAAATCCGTGAACGTTCATTGGCGCTGGGGAAGCACAGTCCAATTCCATGGCTGTGTACTGTCCGTTGCCGCACGGACACAGCGATAAATGCTTAATCGAACGGGAATGTGTGTCTGATCGTTTAAAACCACGAAAGCGCACAAAACGCCTAATTGCCTGTTTACACCAATCGCACTGGCTTCGTGTTTGACAAAAGTTGCTGGCTACAAAACAGTTGAACTGCGTACTTAAGCACAATGCACGAATTGGGAAAAGGCTGTTCACGTGGGTCGATTTTCACGTGTGATGACTACGTTGTCTCCACAAACTCCTAGGCCGCTTGCACAACGCGGATATTTTTTTGTGTTTTACATCAACATGTCGAATTTTGACCACTGTTTGCGTGGGCAAGCAGGTGAAGATGTCTAATACCTTCGTCAAATGCAAATGGTCACGGGATCCAACGTATGGCTACCGGCATAAGCTATAACTACGTTCCACAAACATTGCATAGTGCATGGAAGCTAGTGGCATTTCAGTTCCGTCAGCCCAAATGCAGCTGTTGGCACGCCAAAACTACCACAAAAATAACAACACGGAATTGCAAAGAAGAAACACCGACGCAATGTGCATCCTTTGATATAAAGCGCTCAATACAATTGTTGCTGTTTAACACAGTGGCACAGCTTCTCATCACCCCCAACCCCCAACCCGCCACCGTTTCTGCCTGACCATATGCTTCGATTTCGATGTGCTCAGCGGTAGGCGTGTTCGCGTTCACGGTGAACTTATGTGAGGCCTCACATGCCCTTCTGACAGACCCCCACTCCAACACCCCAGAGTTAGTTCAGTTAGGCTAGTCACATGAACCAAACCGACATCAACTCCATCAAAAGGACATTTTTTCGAACAAGGGTAGGAGAAAACCAGGTTCGGCCACACAGACTCCATCACCAGTATGCAAAACCATTCGTGCACAAAAACTCGTTGTTTTTGGCGCATAGTAAACGTCAGTGTTAGCACAAAAACTAAATGACATCCGACTAAACAACAGAAAATCACGAAGTTGCGAAGGTGTGTCAGTAACACCTCTCAGATTAACCGAATCAATCCGATTAAGACGCATCCGCGTAAGAACATTAGTCATACCTTCACACACTTTAGTTGTGTTGCTTGTGTTCAGCAATGGGATTGGCACCTCTCCACACACTAACACCTACTACGTGTGTTGCGTCTCCACAAAACGCCACGCAGCACACTTTG